TATGTAGCCTAAGATACATCCTATGATCTGAAGGGCATGATTGAGACTTCCAAATCGAGTTATCCCCAAGGTTGGTTCCCAAGCTTTTACATAAAGGACATTCCCTAGCGGTGTATTCCATATCCTACCCTTAAAAAAACAAATCTTTTATGCATATGATGTATTTCAAACAGACTTTATGCATTACATTTACAAGGTTCCATAATCCCACATTTAACATACTTTTCATATCACATTACTCCTAATTTATATTCATATGTTCATTTATCGGTATCAATTCATATCACGTTAACATCATAATACAGGATTATAACATAAAATTCAACAGAAGCACAATAGGAGATTCGTAGTAAGGACGACACCTAACAGCACACACCTCGAGCCCCATGCATGACCTCTAGAGGACCACATGGTCCCAAATAGTAAGAAAATCAGTTACACCATTTCTTTTTAAAAGAATATGTTCTAAAAAAAAGTAAAATAAAAAAGTGTGTAATTGTGACCCATAACCGCACAAAATAAATATAAATGTGTAGTTGTGACCCACAATGACATACAAATACAAATATACACACACACACACACACATATATATAATTGGGTCGTTGTAACCTACAACAACCCTTAGTTAAGTCAATTTGTGTTACTGTGGGCTTTAACAACTCATTTTGAGTTGCTATAGGTTGCGACTTAAGTTTAATGACTCAAAAAAAAAAAAATTGGCCATGTGTCACAGGTGTCGCTGTGGACTACAATGACACTATGTAAAACAACTCCAAAGACGTAATATATTTTCAAAGAAATTTCATTTATATAATTAATTTGTAAAAAAAAGTCCCACAAGAATGAATAGCCATATTCCTCCTTTACGATGTTGTAGGAGGGGGAGGTAGGGAAGGACTTAGCTGATTAGGGAAAGCTACTTGGGATGTACAAGGTTGGAATTTTTTTCCAAATACTTACACGAAATGAGTTTGGATTAAATTTGGGACACTCTACTTCTAGATGTCACGCTTAGAGGGTAGAAAGAGACAATACTGTATCAATTTACTCTAAACACTACTAGAATTTCTGTTATTACATGCGACTTTTCCTGCGAATTTTTATGAAAAATTCGCAAAAAACGTTGTTCCTGCAAATTTTTCTGTGAAATTTTATTTGTAGGTAATACCTTCGTGGATAATATATTTTTGCGAATTTCAAAATTCGCAGGAAATTTTCCTGTGAAATTTCTTGCGAAAAAATTCGCAGGAAAGTTTCTTGCAAAAAAAAGTTTGCAGGAAAGTTTCCTGCAAAAAAAAATCGCAGGAAAGTTTCATGCGAATTTTTTCGCAAGAAATTCTGTAGGAATATTTTTTACAAAAAAAATTAAAAAATTAAAAAATTACTATAAATTCTATCAATAATTCTTCAACTTTCAAATGCTCACAATGAATTCATTTGAAACATTTGTTTTCATGCCTCCAACATGTGATACATAATCTTTTCAATTCTAAGATTGTAAATTATAAGTCTAACACTCAACCATGCAAATCAACTTGTAAAGTAAGTGTTGTCCCAACTTATATACACTTTAATTGTTTTATTTTTAATCGATATGGGACTTGAAGTTTTTTTAAAATATTAAACTTATTAATATTTTTTATTTTTCCTGCAAATTAAAATTTGCAGGAAAATCCACAGGAAAAGTTACCTGCAAAATTTTCTAGCATTTAGTAAACATTACTTGTGAATTTATTTTTACAAGAAAATCTGTAAGAAACAAAATAAAATTCTTACAATATTTTCTGCAAATTTTTACCATAGAAAAAATTTCTATGATCATTAAAATTGTAGAAAAATTTGTAAGAAATATTTATAAATTAATTTTTGTAAATAAATTCGCAAAAAATTTCTGCGAATATTTTTTTTAGGAAAATTCGCAAAAAATTTCTGCGAATAATTTTTTGCTAGAAAATTCACAAAAAAATTATGCAAATATATTTTTGTAGGAAAATTCACTGAAAAATGACACTTTTCTAGTAGTGAAAATAATTAGGTGGTTGGTAGATTTAACTGATTGCCTAGAACTCCTAGTGGATTAGGATAAAGTTTAGGAAAAAATTTAAGTATAGTTCTATGTGCTGTGGTTGTTGTTGTTGTTTTTTTTTTTTTTTTTTAATAATTAAAGTTAAAGTTTTATCTCAATAATATACATAAATATATAATAATGAGATGTTAAACCCTAGAATTTAAGTGTATATATATTATAAATGTAAAACCTTAACTTTGCTGATTAAATAATAACACAAAATCGTATTTAAAGAACTGTTTCTAAATTTTGTATTAAAATTAATAGTATATAACATAAGGCGATTACACTGTTTGTATTAAAATAATTCTAACGCAATTAATTAAATACATTAAAATACAATATAAATCATGAATAGCATAGTCATTTGCTAATTTACGTGAAAATTATATTGAAGATCCAAGTCCTAATTTACCATCATATTTTTATATAAAAAAGTAATGAGAATAATAATAGTAACATACAATCCATTTAAATATATTTAAAGGATAATGAACTAAATAATATTAATATTTTATTATAAAATTCATACTCATTTTAATAATTATATATTTGAATGTGTTTTTAATTAAATTATCTAAACAAGTTTCATTTTGATAAAAACAGAAGTACTTTTAGAATAAAAGGAACCAAACATAAATCAAGTTATATTAAATCTACTTTTAGTTAAACTTTAGTTTGTAAAGTTAAGTTCAACTGAACTTCATTTTATAAATTGCAATCCAAACACACACTAACTATGTACTAAGAAGAATTGTGTCATGTTGATCTGCTTTGCAAGTGGGTGTTATTTATAAGTAATGATATTTTAACATTGTTCATAAAATTAAAATGTTTATTGTATATGTATCAGTGAAGCCGGACACACCCCTTTGGTCTCCATCTTGATCAGATAGACTAATCGGGCCTAATGGGGGTCGGACGGATAAACAATCCCTCATCCTCGACGAAAGTCACGCCTAGAGCCTCAGAATCAAATTCCCGAACACCCCTTCGGCTCCACCATTACCCGAGCAATATCCAAAGGAGCAAAAACCTACACGGTACTCGAAAACCAAAGAGGTCATGTACCCCCCTTGGCCAAGGAGCAACCCGAACAGGTACTAAGCCATAACACATCGAATCATCCTAGGACACGGAAGGTACTTTAATTATAGATTCACAATAAAAATCCATGTTAGTTGTAATTAGGAGGCAGAATCCATAATAATTAGCCCATTACTCCAAAAAGTCCATTAAGTCCAAAAACGTCACTATAAATATAACATTAATGGGACTGATGAAATAAGTATGATTATTTAATACTGTAGCCTTTATTATTCTTTATCGAATACTCACTTGAACATTAGAATGCCTTTGTAGGTACCCTCCCCACCCACATGAACCAGGGATTTAGGATATCGTTATCACAAGGCCAAGGAAATCAATCACAAAGGAGGAAAATGACTAGGAAGTGTTTTTCACAGGAACAGTATTTGTACAAGTTGAATGATATTTATTTATTTTTATTGATCTAGTTGCATAAAAAAAAAACATAACAAACCATATTTGGCAGCATTAAGTTTGAGGGGAGGAAGGAGGAGGAGAGTGAATTTGAGGGGAATGGTTAAAGGATATGCATGCTTGGTAAAGTGAAAAGAAGGGGAATGGAGTGAAATATACATGGAACCCACGGGAATGGTAATTGCCTTAAAAAATAAGGGATTGGAGCCAAATTTAGTCTAAGGACATTAATGTCCCTCATTCTCCTTCAACTACTTGTTATTACTTACTCATCATCTACTTGTTTTTACTTCCATGACTCATGCTTGTTTTCACTCCCATGACTAGTCTAGTGTAACAGAGGTAACTAGTTGCTTTACCCTCTGTTTTTCTTTGCTCATGCTTACAATAAAATATATAAACCTACAATCTATGTATGATGGAGTTACAAATATGTGGTTGAAATATCGAATTTGGCACAAATATAAATGGCTATGGTTCCAAATTGAAGAAATCATATTCAAATATGTAAGGTTATATATTCCATTACAGGTACCTTTGTTGTGTGTCATATTCGAATATGATACAAATCATATTTAATTATGCTCATCTATATTTTATTATGTTCATTTTTATTATGTATCATATTCGAATAAGTTGTGTATAAGTATCATATTTTGTATGATATCTGACAATTATATTATGTAGCATATTTGAATATGATCAAGTATATTACATTATGTTTAGCTATATTTAAATATATATATTATATATATATATATATATATATATAT